GACCCACAGCTAATATTATTTTAATTAAATATTATTTCAATTAAACCTTAGGTTTGCACGAGCTGGAGATGGTTCTGCTCAACGCAATGCGGCATCCAGTCTTGGCCACTGGCTGGAAGGGGCTGACGGCTGTCCTTCTTACTTTATCTCTGCTTTGTTTCAGGGTGATCACACAGGGAAACAAATCATAGTTCAGACCACTCACAGAGCAGTCTGGTGTGATCTATTTCCCAGTGATCACACAACATGCAGGAAATTGCACCCCAACCCAATCCAGCTGACCTGTGTCCATGCTGGACCTCTTTGCCATTAGGCGTGGGACTTGGACCAACTCCCTGACCGACTGAACGGTCACTTTAAGACCCATCCCTTCCTGCAAAACAATTCTTTCCATTGTGATCGGACACATGCTTTTTTGTTCTGTCTGGTTAAACCCAAGGTTGCATATTCAAAACAAAACAACTTTATCTTATGTTGTCTTTGCTCCTTGCTGCTTTAGTGGAATTTTTGGCACCTGTTTTTAAGTATTTCTGCTCAGCCTGTTTACCATTATTTAAAGCTTTCATTACATTCCGAGAGACAGGATTTGATATGGTCAACACCATTTTATATACGAAACAGCCATTCTTCAATTGAACGCCTCCAGCATTGGAGTGCTCATCACCTCCCAAGGTAATTGATTCCATCATCATAGAGCTCTAACAGCTAAGAAGCTCTTCCTCATATTCAGCCAAAATCTGGCTTCCTTTAATCATCTCCCTCTGACGAGTGGACCTGTCCTCATTTGCTTTTGCATTTGGTGCACGGTGAGATAACTCATGAACTTGCCTTAATATCAGTTCATTAAGCAACTTGTCTTTTGTTGGAAGTCTGGATATTCGGTAAATGAAACAAGCACAGAGGGCAGAAGGAGCTGGGGTAAACGCTGTGAAACTGGTGATTGGTACCAGAGGAAATGTAAAGACTTTAGTTAAAAATTGCAAAAGCAGGAGTCTTTTCTGCTGCTGGAGAGTCAACTTGCTTTTCCTTGCATGTTACTGGATGTAACATGGTAAAAGGAATTGTGCTAATCAGAAAGCTATATAGAACTTAGGGGAAGACACCTGTTTTTTGAAGGATCCCTTTAAATGATTGGAAAGAGCAGTGAAAATCACACTGTTCCTTGGACCAAGGGAGGAAGGCAAGAAGGAAGAAGTTGTATCATCATATATTATGAATTCCATCTTACATTGTGCCACTGACCATAAAGGCTCCATCCAAGACTATGACACTCCTATGGAGGATTTCTCTCTTGCTAATCTCACATCAGAGTTGCACCATGCTGGAATAATTGCAAATCCAGGACAAGCAGCGTCCTCCTCATTTGCTAAATGAGGACTGGGCAGAGGAACATGCTCTGCTGGCTGAAGAACAGCAGGATTTAGGAAAGGTAGGGCTTATATTTTGAGCATCCTGGAAAATCATACTAGGGCAGTTTAGGTCTTACTTTCGGGGAAACATGGTTATCTATCTATCTATCTATCTATCTATCTATCTATCTATCTATCTATCCTATCTATCTATCTATCTATCTATCTATCTATCTATCTATCTATCTATCTATCTATCTATCTATCTATCTATCTATCTATCTATCTCTCTCTGTCTGTCTGTCTGTCTGTCTGTCTGTCTGTCTGTCTACCTACCAGTGAGCCTTCCGCTTGTGCAAGGAGATATTGGATATTCCCTTGCACAAATGGCAAGAAAGGCGCATCAATGGGTACAACAGATGTATGGTAAAACCGACAGGATTTTGGGCTTAGACTGTATGTGTTGCTACTGATGACTTTTCTGCTGGAATAGAGCATGAACAGAAGTAGAAAGTGATGTGATGAGGTCTAGAAGGTAATGGCTTGTTTTCCCTCTGTATTAGGATCTACATGTAAGTTAGCAAACTTTTTTCCAGGTAACTTGCAGGTAACTTCTTCCTCCTCCTAGCCCGAGAGAGGCAGAATCAAAGGGTTTCTCCAAAACAGTTGAACAGACTCGTACACCCAAAAGTTTGACACATTAGAGCCTTTCCCCCTGAATGGGTTTTCTAAAACTATAAGAATTTATTTTCTCTGTCAAGGTCACAGTCTAGAGACAATTAGGCGGGTTTAAGCCCTACTGAAACTTCTGCTGTGGGGTCTTCTCAATAGAAATAATCCCAATAGCCGTGGTGTCAAGCCTAACATGTCTGATAATCATTTATCTAAGATTGGAAGCAAGCCCCAGTGACCTCAATGGAAGTTACATTGCATAAAGATGTCTTGGAGTGTTTATCTGAGGGATTGCTCCAGTGTGGCACGGACAGAATGAGAAAAGGATCCTTTGGAATAAATCGATTTGGACCCAGGAGGCACCTTGCTTACCTGACCGCTATATGGCCCATAGGATTCAGCACTTGGTATGCCGCCATGTTTCTTCGCCCATTTAAAGGCCCGCCATGCAATGCCTCCATCGCAGCCAAAATTCCCAAAGCCCCAGGAGCAGTCGATCAAGGCTTGCTCGGACAAGGGGGTCAGCTGTCCACTCTGGATGGTTGATGAGAGGAGGAGGCACAAAGATTAAGCTCAATGCTTCATTTAAGTGCTGGTCAAATGTACAACGGCAAAACACAGCTAGTTTACTGTTGTGACTTGTGTTGTCAAAGACGGAGGACAAAGTATCTCAAACTCTGCATTTCCCCGCAATTCTAGGGGCTATTCTACGTGAAATGCCTATAATGCAGTGGTTAAACTGCAATATTGCAGTCAAAGCCTCTGCTCACAACATGAGTTGGATCAAAATAGGTTCAAAGAGCCAGCTCAAGGTTGACTCAGCCTTCCATCCTTACAAGGCCAGTACATTGCTGGGGGTACAGTTGTTGCTTGCATGCTGTAAACTGCCCAGAGATTGCTACAAAACACCATGAGATGGTATACAGTGCTGCCTCGCTAGACGATGATAATCCGTTCCACTGAAATCGCTGTTTAGCGAAATCATTGTCTAGCGAAAAGCATTTCCCCACTGGAATACATTGAAACCGGTTTAATGCGTTCCAATGGGGAAGAATCATCGTTGTCTAGCGAAGATCGCCCATAGGAAAGCCACTTTGCGAACCGCTGATCAGCTGTTTAAATCGCTGTCTTGTGAAGCTTAGGTCCCGAAAACACCTGTTTTGCAAGCACGGAGGGAGCTGTCAAAATCGTCATCTAGTGAAAATCGGTTTGCAAAGCAGGGACCAAACATTGTCCAGTGAAATTCCCCCATAGGAATCACTGTTTTGCGAATCGCTATAGCGATCGCAAAAAGCCAATGTCTAGCGAAAAAACTGTCTAGCGAGGCACCACTGTATATGTAGAAAAACAAAAAAAAAATCTAACATCACAGTTTCCCCTAATGAACCTCATTTGATTCTCTGCATACCATCTTCATATCTCAATGTGTACAAAAGTCTGACTACAATGTCTTAAGCACAAACCTTCCTCTCCTTCCCCCTCACTCCATTTACTTTCCTAACATCTTGCTGCAGACTAGATCAGTGAGCTTACAAGCTGTCACGTACTTCTTACGCCATTTTTGGTTGACTTAATAAACATACCACCCCAGTATGGATTTTAGAATCTGGGGCTACCTTTTTTAAAGGATCTAACTACACTTTTCAGTGATGGCTGGTCCACTAGGCAAATGGGGCAGTGCCTTATAACAGTATCAGGAAACACTAGATAAATCCTGAATGGCTGGAAGGAGCCAGGAACTGGATGGGAGAAACAGCCCTAGATGGGCACAAACCCCAGTTTGGAGGTTTGTGTCTGTTTGTTGGTGTGGTATCACAGGCGCCGTGGGTTCCGTCTCTCCCCCCCCCCCACTGGCTACCCCACTCACCAGCCAGTGCACACTTATCTCCTATTCTTCATGTGATCATCCAGTCACAGCAGGAGCGTGGACTTCCCTTCACCACCTCCTCTGGCAGCCGCCCACTCAGATAAGGAGGGGCAAGGATTCCTGCAGTGCCGCCTTTGAGTGGGCGGTTGTTGGAGGAGGCAGACAAGAGAAGTCCATGCTCCTGCTGTGACTGGAAAAGAGCAGCGTGTGCCAGCTGGTGAGTGGGGGAGTCAACGTGTGGCACCTGGGGTGGTGCACTTATGAACTGGCACAAACAATCCTAACTGAGGCTCATACCCATCTCTACCTAGGAGATAAGAGACCAGAGCAAGAAAACTCCTTCTTTAAATAAATATTGTTTCTTTGAGCCAGAATGTGTGTGATTTGGTAAGCGGTCTACCAACAATCCTGAATCATCCCCCACCTCTGGATATAAACTCCTGACTGCCTCTTTACTTGAGAGGGATTATCAGGGGCCCACTTCTATGTCTGCCTCCCTTTAAACACCCAGGTTGATTGCACCCTTGGTGAGATTTGTGTCAGAACATGAGAGTCATTAAGAAAGTCAGCTTTGAAATTAGGGACGCAGAAAAGCGGCGCTAGGCAGGAACATTTCTCATTTGAAGGCAAGGTGTTTTTTTTCCTGCTTCTCAGCTGAGCCGTAAAATGAATGAATGAATAACGGAGAGTCTAGTTTTGCCCTTGAGCATGATTTTCTATCATGAAGAAAATGAGATTAGTTTTGAAAAAAATCACACCACCATCGGCTACTTCACAAAGCTTTTTCTCCTACTTTAAAGAAGAGGGCTCCTTCCACAGCCCCGGTGGTAGCAAAACTCCAGCAGGAACCGCATAAGGCCTGGTCTTTCACGGGTGTTACGGCACCTGGTTTGGGAGGGCAGGTGGGAGGGAGGAACAACGAAGAGGATCATGGTTGAGATCTCTCAAAAAATCACAACCAGGACCAGATTTACATAGAAGCAAAGGCAGGATGTATTCATTATTTATTTGTTCAAAATATTTCTACCCAGCCTTTCTCCTTAAAAACGACCCAAGATGGCTTACATTGTTAAAAGACAATATTTGAAGCTAAAAAGACACATACTAAAAAGCGTCAAACAAATGCCACACTAAAACTGACAACAAAAGCAATGCAGAACCACATTCCAAGCAGTAAAGGCACAACAGTCCATCTAAAAACCTTATAATTACATTATAAATAAATAAATAAATAAATAAATAAATAAATAAATAAATAAATAAATAAATAAATAAATAAATAAAT